CTCTCTCTCTCTCTCTCTCTCTCTCTCTCTCTCTCTCTCTCTCTCTCCCCCTTCCTTGCAAGCACTCTCTGCCTCCTCCAGCGATAACTCTGGGCAGCACTCCAGCATCCAGCAGCGTGAGGCAGGAACCGAGTGGGGCAGGCAAGTCTTTTGTAATTTTGGCGTACCTTCGCCTGCCTCCGCTTGCCTCCTGAGATAGCTCAGACTTATGAATCTGCATCCCCGATGTACTGTCGTTGAATGTGTGCCTGGAGCCAGTGGGCCTTGGGAACTGCTGGAAAATGCACTCAGCGGATGTGCGTGAGATCTGTGGCCTCAGTTGACTTCTGAGCAATCTTTGACTCCTGGACTGCTGTGCCCCAGTTGCGCCTGACTCTTTAGCTTTCCTAAATTCTACTACAGGTTCTCTCTCTGGTTCATGGGTCGCCTCTTTTTACCCTAGACCCGGTACCTTTTTGACTCGAGGACATTCTGGCACCCTTTCAGAGGCTATGGATGTGGCTTTGACCCCAAACGGAGCATTTGACCCCAAACACTGATGGGACCAAAAGAAGAATTATGGCACCCTTTCAGAGGCTATGGATGTGGCTTGGACCCCAAACAGACCATTTGACCCCAAACACTGATGGGACCAAAAAAAGAATTCTGGCACCCTTTCAGAGCATTTCACCCCAAACACTGACGGGACCGAAAAAAGAATTATGGCACCCTTTCAGAGGCGGCTTCGAGCCCAAACACTGATGGGACCGAAAAATCAGTGTTTCTGCCCTAGAGTGTTTCTGTGCGGCTTTTGAACTCTATGCATTGGAACCATAATATCAATAAGAAATAGGTTATCCCCCTGTCTGTCTGTCTGTCTGTCTATCTGTCTGTCTGTCTGTCTGTCCATCTGTCAGTCCATCAGTCCGTCGGCCTGCCTGCCTGCTGGCCATTCTGCCTGCTCGACTACCTGCTGGCAAGCCGGTCTTGCCGTCTGCTGTCTCTTTCTCTGGTCGTCCAGAGTCGGTCAGACTGTCTGTCAGTC